TTTTTTTCTCTTTGTTTTAAAAAAAAAAAAAAAAAAAAAAAAAAGCCTGCCTGCCACTGGGGGTGGGGAGGTTAGATGCAATCATTTAACCCTATTAGTTGGAATCTCTTATCTGTTAGTGGTGAATCAAAATCCTGATTCTGCAGGAAAACGCACTGCAAAATGTAAATCTTGTATTGTTTTTTTTTTTTTGGGTGTTGTTTGTTTTTTTTTTGTTTTTTTAGCTCAACGATACAAAGAAAATGGGAACAGGGATGCTCATTCACTCCTGCAGAAACTGCTTCATCATCATAAGATTTTTTTTTTAAATGGCAAGCTGAATTTTCAGAGTAATTTCTGAGCCCCTTATTCCAGGCACACTTTATCTGACTCGGGTCAAACACAGAGGGTCCCTGATTCAGATGACTGCAAAGAGAGCGCAGGCTCTTCAGTTGGGTAGAATTTGAGTCCCTCTTCCTCCATGGATTCTTGAATCAAAAATTAAGAAGAAGTCGACATTGTGATTTTCAGCAATGTGCTTTATTGCTTTGTTCTGATGGGTAATGTGAAATTTCAGCTGTGGACCAAGCTCAGGTTTTTTTGGGTTGTTGGCACAAATATCTAATGAGTGAACATTGCTGAGGATCGTGCCATTTCAGAGAATTTGAATATTGGGGTTATTGTTTGCCTCATCAGCCTAATAACTATTCTAGTCACGCAACATTCCTGCAATGAGTAATGCAACATTTTTAAAAATATATATATTTAATAATTTCTACATGTATAAAATCCATTCCACCTATCAAAGCTGAGCTAATTGTTGATGGCAGGTTCTGAAGGGCTCAGTTTTGTTTGACATTTAAAACTGATTTTCAAACATTCAGGATATGTCTTCATTTGCTATACAGAGATATATCTACAGCCTTGCTATTCCTTGTCCTCGTCATTTAAATGCTACTTAAAAGAGCCGAACGGTAGTCCCTGCAAAGAGACCGAGTCTGAGATTCTTGGAGCTTTAAGGTGTCCAAACTCCAGTCAAGGCACTTTCAGCCTTGAGTGACTGTACGTCTTTTGTGAACCACCAAAGTATGAAACATTCCCCTTTGTTGGCTGCATTCTTTTTGCTGAATCCTTGGCAACTCTTGTGTAATGAGCTCAGTGATTCCCAGTGAACCCGCTGTCGGTTCCCATGCTGACAGATCATTCTCTGTGCACACAGCAGATGTGGCACGCTGCCTCAACAGTGCCCTCCAAGTTGGCTGCGGAGCGTTCGCTTGCCTGGAAAACTCGACGTGCGACACAGATGGCTTACATGACATCTGCAAGTCCTTCCTGTACAGTGCTGCTAAATTTGACACTCAGGTACACACTTTAAATCTCTCTTTCTCTACCGCTTCCTCTCTCTGATTGCTGCTTGCTGGGTCAGATTACATGGGTGTAACTGTGCAGGACATGAGAACGTGTGAAGCCCTGCTCTTTTCTTTCCAGGGTAAAGCGTTTGTAAAGGAGAGCCTTAAGTGCATCGCCAACGGCATCATCTCCAAGGCATTCCCCACCATCCGCCGCTGCTCCACCTTCCAAAGAATGATAACCGAAGTCCAGGAGGAGTGCTACAGCAGGCTGGGCATCTGCAACGTTGCCCAAGCCAACCCAGATGCTATTGGTGAAGTTGCACAGCTGCCAAGTCATTTCCCCAATAGGTGAGCTTTTCCCTTCGCCTTTTCCCCCTTGGTCTAACAAGCTTAACACTGAATTTATTATTTATTTCTGAAGCTTCCTGTGATCTTTTTTTTGTTTTCTTTAAGTAATTTTCCATACCGTACGACAGAATCAAACAAGACTATCAAGTTTGGATGTTTTCATTCCTTTTGTTGCTGTAATACATGCTGGATTGCAGTTTAGGAGTGGACACAAAAGAATCGGAGGGTGGAGCGCGAGACTCAGTCAGGGCTAGAACTGCAGTTTTGTTACTCCCATACGCACGACAACAGATAACACAGCATGGACATGAATGCAAATGAAAGACAAAAGAACACTTAATTAATTTACAACGTGTTGCAAATGTTTACCTTTTATATATATATATATATATATATATATATATATATATATATATATTTGCTTGCAAAATTAGAAATTAATATTTCATTTCAGTTTTAAGTGACAGATCAACCGAAAGTAGAACACATTTGGGATCTGTAAGCAACTGATGTTTTTTTTTTTCTGTTTATAATTTAGATACATTTAATTTCCCTGGGTCAAAACTTTGTAGAACCAGCATTTGCTGCATTTACAGGAGTAAAAAAAGAACAACTTGAATATGTTTTTAGCTTTGTACATTTGGGAAGTAGAAGTCTTCTTTGCAAAATATCTCAAGATCCATTCTGAAGACTTGTTGCTTTTTAATATTCTGTGAACAGAGGTCTTACCTCATTTTAGAGTTACCACACATTCTTAATTGGACTCAAGTAATTTTTGAGGCCATTTGTTATATATGAATACACATTGATCCAAACTATGCCACAGCTCTAGCTGTGTGGCTGAGATGATTGCTTACATGTCCCTGCTGGAGAAAAGTATTCCCACCGTATGATGATGCGACCTGCTGCCTCACCTTCAGGATGCTGTTCAAGTTTTTGCTTCCACAATACCAGAAAGTCCAACTTTGGTCAAATTTGGCCAGAACACATTCATTTGGGTGTTTACTGTCCTCTGTATGTTCTGTGGAAAATTGCAAAATATACTTTATGTGGCGTTTTTTTTTTTTTTTTTTTTTTAACAATAGCTTTCTTGTTGCCAGATTTCCATGAAGGGCCAAATTTGTAGAGTTCTCAGCTAGTTAGGCCTGTTGCAGTAAGAAACAAATCTATTAATGATAAATTAAAACAACCTCATCTACCAAAAATTTCAACCAATGATGGTCATTGGTTGAAAATGGTCTCAAAACAACAATATTATTGTTTATCGCAATAACTTCTGGGACAATTTATCATCCAGCTGAATTTATCGTGACACGCCTATGAGCAGTGGTGATCCACCTGCACTGTTGATCTCTGCAGCTCCCCCAGAGGTTAGACCTCATGCTGTTTGAGAGATTTGTCAGTTCAGGGAGGGACATGTCTTGGTCAAGGTGCAGGTGTCCGTCACTCTTTCCCTTTTTTGGTTTTAGATTGAACAATCCTCTGTCAGATGTTTAATTTTATCTCTGACATTGATCTTCATGATTCAGTTTTTTCCCACTACTGTGCCCTAACTGTCTTTGACTGTAAATGCAGTATTTTTCATAGAAAAGATAATAATGAGATTTTGATTTACTATGTAAAGTCAATTGGTTGCACTCAATTGTATTTAGAAGTGTCCAACTAAAGGAGCTGATTACAACTGTAATTTACCATTATGCACTATGTTGTGCTGATCTAATAAAATCCCATTAAAATGCATCAATGTTAGAGGTTTAACGTGACAAAAAAAAAAATGCACGTGTGCTCTGTATTTTTTCTCCAATCATGTTGCAATCTCTGAAGAAAAATCCTCTGTTTCTTTGTTGTCCTAGGTTTTATGGTAAGCTTCTGCAGAGCCTGATGGACTGTGATGAGGACACGGTTGACCGTATCAGGACCAGCATGGTGCCACGGCTGGGCCCGGAGATGACCATGCTCATTCAGCTGCTGCAGAACAAGCCCTGCCCATCCACCGCCGGGGCAGCGGCCTCAGTCGTCCCGACTAGCGCGGAGACCCGCTGGCGCTGGTCCATGGGTCCCAACATGTACAAGATCCAGCCTAATCTGCGAAACAGAGACTCTGCTAGCCATTTAGGCAAAAAGCGCCCTGGCAGCGACGGGTCCTAACTTCGGCTCAGATTAAGAAATAGCCACCCAGTAAGTTCGGTCATTCCCCAGCGGTGATGAAATCTGTGTCTCTACTAGTTTGGAAGTTGTTGAAACATGCACCTCTTAGGAATACCGGACCACCCATACAGTTGATATCAGTTTGATTGTTGTTATATTGTATATCCTACATGTTAGGCTTGAGTGAACCCGTCTTTCATTGACTGATTTCAAATACGTCTGCTCACAGTCTGTGTTGAACATGTGGCCGACAAAAACAAGGTGTCGTTATTCAAAATTCGCTCATGAATATAAGTCAGTGGTTTGACTATCATTGGTTGAAATTTTTTGGTAGATGTATGTTATGAGCATGAGATATGAGTGTCATAGCACTTAACATAACACTTAAATGTACTGTATACTAACTTATATGAGACAGCCATAATCTGCCCTCTAAAAGAGCGCTCATATGGACTAGGTCTGTAGAGGTTTCTGGAGAACCTTCGAGAGGTTACCTTAAAGTGACCAAAAAACACATAAAAACTGCCCTGAATGCCACAAAAAAATACCAAAATTACGTTTAGCTATATATATATCACATAGAGTTTAGGATTTATTTTCTGACGGCAAAAAAAAAAAAAAAAAGATTGTCCAGGTCGTGGCCAAGTCTATCAAATATCTTATATCCAGACACTTGCAATGCATAAGACTGTTGAGCTACATGCGGGACCAGTTTAGTTCTTAACTGAGCGCGGAGCAGCAATGTTTTCGCGCAGTAGCTGAATGACATGTTCACTGTTGAGAGTGAGAACAGCCAACTCTTTGGACTGCGGTGATCGTCGTTCTCGGAAGTGAATCATGTAACACTGACTTCCTGTATCAAGATAGAGACTGATTATTTAAAAAAAAAAAAAAAACAACAAACAAACAAAAAAAAGCCTTGATGATATTTATTTTCCTACTATATTATTTAATGTTTTTATTATGTTATGCATTATTGTAGTTTTGCATAGTTTACAGTTACTAGCAGTTTAGACATGACTCCTATTTGAACATGAGCTCTATGCCAAAAAAAGAGAGAGAGGGGTGAGATGACACTCTGGTGACTGAATGGGACCCATGTCATGACTCTGTGCTGGCCATAGGGGAACAAGGTTGGTCATTCAGGTCAGGTGATTTAATTTATGGGCGTTTCAAGAGACTGTTTTGGTTTTAAAACAAAAGTTGCTGTTGTGGTTTGCTAGAAGTCCACTTTTAGAGAACATTGTGCACTTTAGTGATGGATAACTAAGTCAGTAAAACAAACACCAGTATAAAGTACTCTTTTTTTTTTTTTAATGAAGTGTTCCCTAATATATCTACACTATATCTATAATCTGGTTTTCATAGAAAGTGATGCGCTGCTATGTCTGGCTACTCTGCACATAGCGACGTAGCATTAGTTTTGAACAAAAGTCAGCAAATAAATCAGAATATTCATATAAATGTCTTTATTCTGAATAGCACGGTTAAACAGCAGAGCATAAAGGGAAATGACACATTTAGTAAGTAAGTAAGTAAGTAAACTTTATTTCTATAGCACTTTTCACAGACCACATTTAGAACATACTTTCCACGGTGCAGGACAGCTAACTTGTACAGGAAGTTAGAAAAGTTGCAGTTTAGCGTCTGTTGCCTTTAAAGTTGTGGGATTTATATCTGGTGGCCATGTTTGTTAGCTTTTAGACGCTGCTGCTGTGGCCATTAGTTAAATGTTTCTGTTTAATATACATTAAAAGTCCCTCTGGCAATCAGCCACAGCTGCTAATATTCCTTGGATTGCAAGGAAAATCAAAATCTGCAGTGACCTTAAAGCCTAGGGAGCATTTGTTAGTGTCTTTTACTTGCTCTACATTTGTCTGCATCCCCATTTGGAGCAATTGTTTGTGCATGTGCTTTTTTGGAATCATAAAAGTATATATATATATTTTTTAATGTATGAATTATTTCAGGAATATTCTGCACTATTCATTATTCTGTCACTGATTTTGACGAATGGTCCTTGAACTGCAAACACCAATTTTAGCAGATTATGGTAGTTTCTCTTAAAAACTATGAAGTAAGAAGACATCCAAACAAAACAAAAAAATAGTTTCTAACCGTCTTGTTGGGGGAAGACATTTGTTATTTACGTTCAGAAGAAATCATACTGCTCGTAAGACGTACATTAGCATACTTGGCCGGCATAACCAATGCATCGTTTTCGCTGTATTCAAATTGGCAAACTTCACATATTTATCTGAACTCATTTCAAAGGCAGTTTGTTTTGTAACAACGTCGTTAGCTTCTTCTGATATTATGATGCGTCTCTCATTTTCACCACAACATGAAATCTTCCAGTCAATCTTAAGTGACTGTATTTTAAACTCGGCTCATTTACAGTAACACAATAATTCAGATTGAATAGGTTTAGCCCTGAGCCACTCAGAAGGGTCTTCATGCTGGTGTTTGTTTTAATTAGAACCCGGTTGATGGCTTATGGTTTGGCACTGTGGACTTCTAGTAGACGGCTTCTGTTGGCTTAGAGTGGAGTAAGTTTAGCTCAATTAGACCAACTTATTAAAAAACGTGCACCTCAAAGAAGGCAGTATAGAAGCGAACTTCTACCTAAATTTAAGTTTGATTTAGAATATCAATTATTTCAAATACTAAACACCACAAATTGTTTTGATTACTATAGTTTTTATATTTAAGTGATTCTTTTATTATTATATAATTTTTATTTTGGCTTCATTAAAGGAACTGATGGCTGTCTCTTTTCAATAAGAACAATTTTGTCTTGGATTGTTTAGAGTGAAGCACAGATCTTGGAAAGAAAAAGTTTTATTTTTCAGTCTCACTTTATGAGCTACGCTAAGAATTCCAAACTATGCAATAATCACTTGCAAAGGATTCACTGCAACACAGAAATTGATCTTTAGCTCATGCATGGCCAGCTGACGCTGCGTGAGTAAAGCTGCACCATGCGCGTGCTCTCGTGCTGCACTCACGGTGTGAAGGCATCGCACCTCTATGATGCTTTCTTTTTCCGTGCTTTGTCTAGACCAGTTCTTCTTTTGTTCTGTGAACAGGAGCGCTTCTTTCATGTCATGCTGTGCAGAAGGGGAAAGGGGGCGGGGAGGGGGGAGACGTTCCGAAAGAAATACTGGGTAGTTAAGAACTATAGTGACACTGTAGTATATACTAGCTTGTATTTTATTTTGAATTTGCACTTTGCATCTTAACCACTATAAAGGGCATTGAAAACATTCAGCATGTGTGCAACTGAGGCATATTTTACTTACCCAGTGAATGGAGATGAGTTTGAATACCGCGTATCCTGAGGGGGTCAGGGCTTCTTCATGTCCTCTTGATCCATTTGTGTGTATCTTTGTTGACCATGGGTAAATCCAAAACCCAACAGCTGCTGCTAAAACTACCCTGTATGATGCTGGAACCTGTCAGCACACAACGAGCTCGGCATCAGTCATTTTAGACGTCTCACTGTTGATCCGTGTCTTCATATTTATTTTATTTTTTTTTCTGTCATGTCGGACTCATTTGGCAAGGGCAAATCGACTGTTTCCTCACCAAGTAAAAATGTAACAGTAATTTTAGAGAATGTACCTGAATACTGAATGTCTCCAGACAAGGACAGGCCTGAGTCGGCCGATGAAAGCTTTCCAGAAAGCTCAAAGTCGTAGAAGTTTTGTCTTGGTTTTTATTTAAATTCCTTCTTTTCTCCATTTTAATCCAGGTATTGAGAGTTTAAGATGAAACTGGAGCATTGTTAAATTGGCCCGTGGTGAGCTTTGTCAGACTGTTCCTGTTACTACTCGAAACTAAAACCCTCTTCTCACTTCTGGAGCTTCATGGTACTCGTTCCCCTCGAAACTTGAACTAGATTGTTGTGCTTTAATTTGAAAAGCTTCAGTGATTAGTAAAAGTCTGTTTTCGTTTCCATACAACAGCGACGCTTACTTTTACAGATTCAAATATATCAGATCCAAAAGCGTGTCTCTATTATGGATCACTGAAGTTCCTCAAAACAGATTCTATGTAACGCATGATGAACCCTTGTGAATCACTTGCACTTTAAAATATACCCATACACATATATGCCCACACTGTGTATATGTTTGGGTTTTTCCTCTGTACTGAAAAGTCATAAAAGATACAAATGCATCAACTGTGTGTCTTTTGCTGATAAGAAATAAAATATTTCTCAAATCTAGCACGCTGTGTGGAATGTGTGGTTCTGCTCGTGTTTAACTCATATGAACTCATCTTAAGGCACCTTTTGCACAAAACATCTACTATTTCAAAGTCCTTCAGGCCTTAATTCTTCCCTTTGAGCTGCTCTCACGCTCTCTCAAACGTCTATAATTTGACTTTTTGTATATCTATCAAACTGTGCTGGTTAGGAAAGGGTATATTTTCCCATGTCTCATTGGAAAACCACAAACAATCCTGAAGAAGCAAAGCGATTTAACCCTCAGTGTTTCACTGACTTACTGGGTGGGATCTTTGTATACGGCTCATTTCAGAGGTATTTATTTATCCTGACCTTTTCAGATTTGTTTTTATGTTACATCTGCAAACTTTATTACATTTTATAATACACTTTATGTAAAAAAAAAAAAGGCATTTTGCTTTTACTGTAACACTCCTAAATAAAATCCAGGACAACCAATTGCTTAACGGTGTCAAGGGAAGCAGTCAAGTCTCTCTGGAGGAGCTCCAGAGATTCACAATTAAGGTGGGAGAAGCTGTTCACTGTTAGTGGAACACAAAGAAAGCCATTGTTGGGGAAACTCTGGTTTCCGGTTTTTCCACACGTTGCGATGGAGATGCAATAAAAATATGTAGGGATGAAAAGCTACGATCAGGCGTGGAAAAACATGAACTTTTTGAGCTGCATGCCAAACACCTTTTGTGTGAGAAAACTAACACACCTCTGGACACACCACCACCTCTCAGGTGAAACATGATGGTTTCAGCATCATCCAGTGGGGATGATTTAGCTGGTAATATAGACATAGTTTAAGGGAAGATGGATGGGACTAAATACAGGGCAACTCTGAAAGACAATCTGCCAATTGGGGATAATATTTCTTATAAGACATAATCATATGTTGGCAAGCACTGCTAATCCACTTCATTTACTTTTGCTGCTTCTCTTTAAATCTCTGTCTGTTCGTAAGCTCGGAAATCTGGGCTGAGAGAGACATCGGAGTCAGACACATGTCCTTTTCCCAGTATAATGAAAGGAAGAGATGGTCTGAGCCTTCTCCTCTTTCTCTGCTTCTGTCCTGCTCTAAGCTTCGTCTACATCGACGAAGCTTAGTTTTCAACTCCTCCGAGGTTTGGGGACATAGTCCGGGTTGCAGCAAACAATACCTTGTTGCTAAGGTTATGCATCATAACAATTCTGCCGAGGTAAAAGCAAAATCCCTTCCATCTGCGAAGCAGCAAAACCAGAAAATGGCTTTTCACAATGGTTCTCCATCTAAAATGGACTGGGCTTGAGCCATTTTGCAAATAATGGGCAGAAATTTCAGTCCATCGATGTGAAAAGTCAGTGAAGACATATCTCAAAAGATTTAGAGCCCTAATTGTGTTGAAATGTGGTTTTACACATTTCCGACTGAGGTGGTGCTGGATATAAATTTGCAAATTCCGTTTTTTGTTATTAACTTTGCCATTCTTTGTGTTGGTCACAGAAAATTTAAATTATCACTTGAAGTTTGAGGTTATAACATAACAAATATGGAAACATGGGGGGGCGGGGGGGAGGGGGGCACAAATACCATAGAGTTCATTTTGTCCGTATTTTACTGGTATTAATAACTGTTTGTCGTCTCTTGTAACAAATGATTGATTCTGCAGTAAATGTGTCACACATAAAACAGCAATAAAATTTCGAATTATTAGAAACCCACAATTTCCTTTGCAGCAGGAAGAAAGAAAACACACCGTTCCAGCTTCCTGAGCTATGACTCCATATCCAGTTCAGCTAGAAATCTACCATTCGTAAATATCTAATATAAGGTCGGA